CTTCACGGAGAGTCCCCTGCTTTTGTTATCTTAAAGGGAGCCCATAAACAACCCCTGCTCTGTGTTGAAGTGGGATGTGCCCTGATAATCATGGCTTTACACTGACGGGAGGAACGCCGTATTTTTCTTTTCTTTTTACCCTGGGAGATTCTCCGGCAGTAACTCTTTCCCAACTACGCACAGAATCTCTTAAGCAGAGCAAGAAGGCTGTCAAGAGGGTCCCCAAAGGCACATCTGCCTATCAGGCTGCCTGGATCCTGGACAAGGACGAATGGAGAAATGGCAGTGAGGAGGATGAAAAGGGGGATGAGGAGGAGATTATGGAAGAAGCCATGGCCCAGGTAACGGAGTTGGCTTTTTTATGGTCACCTGGGGAAGAGTCTGCAGGCCCACTGGCGGCCGGGGCTTTGAAGGTGGAATTAGGACAGGGCAGGCACTGAGGACCACAGAGGGGGGGAGGGCCTCCTCACGGTCTCTCACTCAGTGCTCCCCCTCCCCCCGGGTTGCTTTTGCTCTGCCAGGATGGGAGCAGCAGTGCAGAGGAAATTGCTTCTGAGGAAGAGGAGGAGGAGGAGGAGGACTGTGAAACCATGACGTTGCCTGAGACTGAGCAGGCCGAGGAGAAAATGGAGGAAGAAGAAGCAATGCTGGAGAAATACCGACAGGAGCGAGAAGAAGAAATGTTTCCGGATGAGGTGGACACCCCGCGGGATGTGCCAGCCCGGGTCCGGTGAGACCCTCAGCAGAGGGCCAGGGCCACGGGAGGTGTTGGCACAGTTCTAGTGGGATCCGGGGATGCGGAGGCAAGGCCTGGCCTGACTGCCCAGGTCACCCCTTTGCCTGCCCTGGGAGGCTGCTTTCAGCTGGAGGCTCTGCTGGGTTAGAGGAGATGGGAGAGGGCAGCAGGCAGGGGGGGGGGGTTGAAGAAAGGGCAAACGGATGATCCCGCTGGCTCCCTCAGGTTCCAGAAGTTCAGGGGACTAAAGAGCTTCCGAACATCTCCCTGGGATCCCAAGGAGAACCTCCCCAGGGACTATGCCCGGATCTTCCAGTTCCAGGACTTTTCACGGACAAGGAAACTCATCTTCCGGCAGTTGGAAAAGGAGGAAACAGATGGAGCTCAGGTTGGCCCTTTCTCCAGTCTCACGCAACAATTGTTGCTTTTACATTTTTAATTTTTTAAAAAATGCTAGTTGTACTTTTACAAGTGTTATTTTTTCATACTTTTAGAGTTATGCTTTACTTCAGGAGTGTCCAACCTTAGCAACTTTAAGACTTGTGGATTTCAACTCCCAGGATTCCTCAGCCACACTTGACACCTCTGCTTTTATTGTTGATCAGCTGCTCAGATCTCTGGGGAATATCCAAGTTCTAACCCGAGAGCCTTGTCCAACTCCTTAGAGTTCAATCAAAGCATTTGGGAGTTGCCTCTAGTGATAGGCTTGGTTTAATTTCTAGAGGGGAAAAAAAATAAATGAAGCCTGTTATACAAAGGCATCAGTTCCTATAATGCTCAGCCAAAAGAGGTTGATCTAGAGAAAAAAAATATGGAAATATCACTGTCAACCTGGTATTTGAGAACGGATTTTCTGCACTACTTTTGGGAAAGATGTTGAGTGAAGTGTGCAAACCAACAGAGTTTAATCCAGCTTTGTTGCCTTCTGGGCCAGTGTGAGGGTGCCAGTATTTCCATGTAACCTGCCCGTGTGCTCCTTCTGCAGGTCGGCTGGTACGTTACAATCCACCTTTGCAACGTCCCACTTTCTGTTATGGAGAGTTTCCAGCAGAAGCAGGAGCCTCTGGTGCTTTTCACATTGCTTCCCTCTGAGCAGAAGGTGAGTCCCAAGAAGAGAGGTGGTCATATTTTGTCTTTGGGACAAGGCTTCATTGTGACTGGCTCAAAGCCTAGAAGAAACGACTTTTCTCTCAGGGGTCTGAATCAGTCTGACACCAGCTGAGGATCCCTTGGTGGTCTGAGGCTTCTTGGGCCTCTCTGCCTCTGATTCCTCTCCTCCTCTTATGGTCTCCAGATGTCTGTGCTGAACCTTCTGGTGAGACGCCATCCAGGATACAGTGAGCCAGTAAAGTCCAAAGAAGATGTGATAATCCATTGTGGATTCCGCCGATTCCTGGCCTCCCCACTCTACTCTCGGCACACCTCAGGTGGGGGAAGTCCCTTTCTAGCATGGGTGATGTTACGTAGTTGGGTCATGAAACATCTGCATGAGAACAACCGAGCTCAGGGAACAGTAAGGACCCCTCATGTCGACCCTGAGCTACAAATGTTCTATCAGTCAAGCTAAACTTAACCTGCAATCCCCCCCATCCCACCCCCTTTCAGCGGATAAACACAAGCTGGAGAAGTTTTTCCATGCTGACACTGCTGTGGTGGCCACAATCTACGCCCCCATTACTTTCCCGCCTGCTTCGGTGCTGCTGTTCAAACAAGAGAGTGACGGTGAGTTGGGAATTGGGTCAATATGGGCTCTCATGCGCTGGTATCCTCTGGTGAGCTGCTGCTGCCACCCCTCCTGCTGGCCTTTCTAGATTTTGCCTTCTTTTCCAGCAGGCTCCCTTAACCTGTTACCTACAAATGGGCCGGATTGCCTTCCCCTTCGTTCTAAAGCTTGAAAAGTGGGTGTGTGTGTGTGTGTTTCAGGTTGTCTGCAGGGTGCCAGGAAGAGAAATGTTGCTGTGCAGCAGTTGGGAAAAACGGTGTCTCTCTCTGTGACACATTGTCCTGTCCTGGCTTATAAGCCTTCACTCTGGGTCTCTCTGGGGCCTAGAAAAGGAATGTCCCAGAGCAGATCCTTTTCCCCGAGAGTGGCGGTGTGGGGTAGAGACAGTTGATGTGGGGCTTTCTCCCCAGCAAAGCTTGCCAAGGATCTTATGCGTTGCCTTGGGCTTATTTTATTGGGGATGTCACTCTGGTTCTTTCAGGTTTGTATTAAAAGTTGCAGGTAGTGATAATAAACTTGTTGCTGAACTACAGTTCCCAACAGTCCCAACCACTAAGCTGAATACATTGTGGTCCATCTGTGCCATACAGTTATCCCATTTGGTGGCCACATGATCAGCGAGGGTAGCTGAAAATGTGGCTTGGCTTTAAGCCTCGGTACTTTTTCTGCCCCTTTGCTGACCTTAGAGTCATATGGGCCGGATTCCGAGGCAATGCAAGTGCTGGTTATCCATTGCCCAGCCTGAAGTTGGGCCCTGGGCCCCTCTGCCCCTGAAGCCACAGGATTCTCACGGGTGTTTTTTTGCAGGAGCACAGAACCTCTTGGCTACGGGCTCCCTGCTCAGCGTAGATCCCAACCGGCTAGTCATCAAACGGGCGGTGCTCAGTGGCCACCCGTTCAAGATTTTCAGCAAGCTGGCTGTTGTGCGCTACATGTTCTTCAACAGAGGTATTGCATCTAAAGTTGGGGGAGGGAGCAATTGCAGTAGCTTCATGGAGAGACATGGACCCATTCAGAACATGGGCAGTGCTCGGCTGGCCTGTCTGTTGCTCTGCTAGAGCAGCTTCCCACATGCAGTGTTGTAGGAATCCACTCCCTCCCCAACACAGACACAGGTCTGTGCTGGTATCCTTACTTTATATTAAACTTATGCAACCCTTGCTTGTCTATCTATGGCTATCATCTCAGGGGTTGCTTTGAACCCTACTGGACTCCTAGTTCTTCCTTATCCCTCTCCTGCAGAGGATATCCTGTGGTTCAAACCAGTGGAGCTCCGGACCAAGTGGGGCCGCCGCGGCCATATCAAGGAACCTCTGGGTGAGTGAAAGTCTTTGGGGTGTTGGTGGCCCAGCAGATCTCCCTTCCTCACTGGCTGCGTGCCCTGACTCTCTCTCTCTCCTCTTTGCTGCCAGGAACCCATGGCCACATGAAGTGCCAGTTCGACGGGCAGCTGAAGTCCCAGGACACAGTGCTGATGACCTTGTACAAGCGGGTCTTTCCCAGGTGGACATTCGATCCCTGCGTGCCAGAGCCCACAAGGTGGAGGGACGGCATCCGGCCTCGCCTAGAGGGAGAGGAGAAAATGGACTAGCTGCTCCAGCTAAGCAACTATTTATGCAAGGGAAAAATACTATTTCCTACAAAAATAAATCTCTGCGGTACTTAGTATTTCTTTTGATGGTCCAACATCTGGAGAAATCTGGTACCTGTGAAGCAGCCAATTGTCCTTTGTTTGATTTGCCTTAATATGCTTCACTTTTCATGGAGCCACTGGAGTAATTGCCTTGCAGATGGGTTTATGCAGGAGGAAGTTTGGCTGTGGGTTGCAGGGCTTCCTTCTCTAGTAGAGAGAGACATGTTGAGACAACCACACCTGTAAAGGAGTCTTCAGTGGGATTTGAGCCGCAGGGCCCAAGGACACCTGGCCTGCCCCCCTCCCACAGCCTCAGGCCTGGAGAGCTTCAGAAGGTAAGTGCAGCACGGCCCAAATACTGAGTGGGACGGGAGTGGGAGGGGAGGACGGGTGGGGAATTCTGCACAGGAGTGTAAAGAGTGGACGACCGCAGGGCCGTTGCAGCCATTGTAACTTTGAAATGAGGTCTTATGTGGCTTTTGGGGAGAGTCTGTTGTAATTTTGAACACTCATTAAATGGCCTGTTGTACCTTGATTACCTGAATTCAATAAAAAAAACTCATCTTTCTGCAGTATAAATGAGAAGGAGCCAAAATTTTAAAATGTTTTATTGTATTGCTCATTTTATACTGCATATTGTCCACCTGTTTCAAAGCAGGGACTAAAATTCTTTTTAAATTTAGAAATAGAGAGAGAGAGCAGGCACAATCAATGTTCGCATGATAGGGTTGGCATTTTTAAAAGCATTGTTACAAAAGGTTCAGCTACAGGTCATCTCCTACGGTGGGGTGGGGGAACTATGGCATTTTTGTGACTTGTGGGCTTCAACTCCCAGAATTCCTGAGCCAGCCATCTTGGCCTAGGAATTCTGGGAGTTGAAGTCCAAAGTCATAAAAAGGGCCATAGTTCCCCACCTTTGTCCTATGGGGACAGCCAGGCACATGGCTTCAATGTCAAGATGGGGAAGAAATCTGGAAGCTCTTAGTCTTCTCCGCCGCACAGAAGGAGCAGAACTTTCCTGTAGTCCCCTGAGGTGTCTCCCTAGAAGGGAAAAACAAAGCATCGTTCAGTTTTATTTTATTCAAAGGATGCAAATTCTAGCAAATCAGGGCTCACGGCCCCTCCTTTAGCCATTACCTCTGAATTACAGGTACGCAGAATAAAGTTCACCATGTGTTTAATGTGAACCACTCTTGCCTTTCCTGAAAGCAAGGGTGCCCACAAGGTATAGTCGGAAGATGCCAAGTGTCAGTCATGCCCTTGTGGCTGCCATCTTGACGTTTTTCATCGCAACCTACAGATGACTTTGGCTGGAAGTGCCCCAGTAACATTGGAACAGTTTGTTGGGCACACCTCTCATCCTCTGTGCAAGACCAATGTGATACTGTGCAGAAATTGCATAAGATCACACACCGCAGCTCACCTTAATGAAAGAGTAGAGGGATTTTCCATACGTGCGCTTGAACTCTGCCTTAATGTCAATCATATCGATCTCACAGCGAGAGACCATCAGGCGAATCAGGGTGTCATCATCGGTCCCCAAACCCTGGTTTCGGGTTGGAAAAGAAAGACACGCCAGCAAAACATTTTGTCCCCTTTAAAACAGCCACTGGTAATGGTGGAGTCCTTGACACTCTGGGCGTGGTGATTTTCTTGCAGACATTTCATTACCAAACTAGGTAATATCAAACTAGGTGAGCTAGCACTGATGAAGATTCTCAGTCCTCTAGGTACAGTTATCTGGAAGTTGAGCCATGATAACTGAACTTGTTTGGCTGCTTATCTAAGTAGCTTCTTCAAGTTGAAGAAGCTATTTGAATAAGTAGCCAATCATTTCAAACCAAAAAGAAAAAAAGTCCGGTTGCCATGGCTCAACTTCAAGATAGCACTGAGGATGTTAACTAGTTTAGTCATGAAACTTTTGCTAAAAGCCACCATGCTCAAGAGAGCATCAAGGACCTCACAGTTTAACCCTGAACTATAAATATTCTATCGGCACCTGCTAATTGTGCTAAATCAAGCTGTTAGTGTTTCTCAACTTGTAAAATATATGGACTTCAACTCCTACAATTCCCCAGCCAGCATTCTGGGACTTGAAGTCCACACATCTTAAAAGTCACTGAGGTTGAGGGAGACTGACAGAGTGCCTCTTGTTCATGCTGGGACTTTGCAGAATCCCCAGGACAGCGTTATCCAACCTGTTCTGGAGAGGCCAGGGATTAAACCCCTTTTTCACGCAATGCCTGTGCCCGGATCACGTAATGACAGGAAATCAATCCCTTAATAAGGCAGTCCTATTGCAGAGCTCCTATTCGGTTTGCAGCCGTTTTTATGCATTATGTTTACCTTCATAGACTTGTACAGCCGTTCAGCAAAGTAGGCAGGTCTATTTCTCATGCATTTTACTGAGAAGAGAGGAGAATAAAAAAAAGCAGTTAGGCTTCTGGTTCTGCGCAGTTTAGCACAACAGCCGAGGGATTGCAGGGCTCCGCTCCCTACGGCTGATTTCTTTCTCTTTGGGGACCCCAAATGGGCCAAAAGCCGCCCTGGAGAGGTAGCAAGGAAGGAGGGAAGCCCTGTCAATCCTGGGGAGACGGCGGTCGATCCGGACATCTGGGGAAAGCTCTCCCAAAAACGACAGAAGGCTAGCGTCATTCATGAATCTAGCCCAAGCTACATGCAGCTGAAGCCAAAAAGCACTAAATTAAGCGTGATTGTAAACAGCGTGACTGAACTGGGTAAGAATATTGATTTTCTCTCTTCTACCTGACTGATTTCCTGAGAAAAAAAGAAAAACCCCAGAAGTAAAAATCCTCTGAAAGTGAGGGGGAGGTTGTCTTTGTTCCAAGTTTACAGAAAAAAAAATTGAAAGATGGACTGGTGCTGACATCTAGTGGTGGATGAAAATACTGCTCCAAAAGCAGTAAGAGAAGCAGAAAGAAGCCTGTTGTTGTGACTTTCAAGGTGTTGATTAAACAAAGAGCAGCTGGACTATCTACAAAGTGAGAACTACAAAAATTGACCTGCCTGGATTATAAATATTTTTTAAATTGCGACTTTAAAGTGATTGGCAGAGAAAGGACTTTTGGTCATTGTGGAGCATCAGAGATCTGCAGAAAGAACATACCAAGAAAAAAATAAATACTTACCAGGAGGAAATGTTTGTGCTGTTACAACAAATGCAAATGATATTAACTTCAAATCATGAGGAAATTAAAAATGAATTCCCATTGTTGGGCAGAGGTTCCCTCTCTCCATGTTGCAGACACCCTGGATAAAAGGTAACCCCCTGCAAAGCAATTGTCACCAGCTAGAGAGAAATAAAAGCTGATGTTGAGTCCTCACCTATTGCCAGCATGGCATCTTCAAGGTCTCCTGACATCTCAGATTTAATACTCTCTGTAATATCTTTGTTAGCAATGATCTTGTATTCATCAAATACTAAATAAATAAAGATTTTTATTAGCAAACAAAAGAAAAGCAGTTCCAAAACCTCCCAAACCTGGGGACTCAGCTATGTCTATGAGCTCCTCTGTTCTGTTATTTCTATATTCAAATTTTCAATATTCCCCATTTCCTGATTATACTGTATATTTTTTCTAAAAAAATAAAATAAAAGAGAAAACAGATGTCCTGAATGAGCTGAAATAACAAAAGACCTATGCTAGTCTATGGTGGCCACAAGTAGTGGGGATATCACACCATCATGCCTTGAGTCACAGAACATTAGAATAATAGAGTTGGAAGCGATCTTGGAGATCTTCTAGTCCAATCCCCAGCTTGAGCAGGGATCCTATACCATTTCAGATAAAGGGCTATGCCATCTCTTCTTGAAAACTTCCAGTGATGGAGCACCCACAACTTCTGAAGGCAAGCCATTCCACTGATTAATTGTTCTCACTGTCAGAAAGTGTCTTCTTAGTTCCAGGTTAGATTTCTCTTTGATAATCTTCCACCCATTGTCCTGCCCATTGTCCTGCTTTGGAGAATAGGTTGAGACCCACTCCTTTCCTCTGTGACAGCGCCTCAAGAATTGGAAGACAGCTATCATGACATCCCTATTTCTTCTCTTTGTTAGACTAGACATGCCCAGTTCCCTCAACCTTTCATCATATGATTTAGCCTCCATCTTTGTTGCTCTTTTCTGCACACTTTCCAGGATCTCAGCCTCTTTTTTGTATCGTGGTGACTAGAATTAAACAAGAGTTAAACAGCAGGACTTAGTTGCTGCAACTCTCATTCCCAGCCTACAACTGACCGATCATCATGTTGCTTGTTAGTATAGCTTAGAGTTGGAGAGTAGATCCCATTTTAGCGTTCATTCTAGAATAGACGTGATTCCCAGGGTGCTTCTTTTTTTACAAGAATATGCTGCTACCCTCATTGTTTACCTCTTAACAGATGGCTCCTGCTTCTGGAGCACAAGATGGTAATGAACTGGCCCTCACTGGTGCCCCATTTCTTCTCTCCTGCTTCATACAGGCACTAGAGGAAACAGGCACAAAGAGCAGATTTTGCAAGGCGGTGAAAGAACAGGCAGGGGGTGGGTGGGGTCTGAGGTTTGGAACCACAACCTAGCACATCTGCACCAATCCAGGCCCCCTGGTAGCTTCCTTCATGTTTTCACAGACAGTAGGAGGGATGGGCAACTTCACACAGATAAAGAAATGGAACTCTCCACCTCTTGAGCTGTAAGGCATGCAAATTGTAAAGCTGGGACGTGACTGAGAATGTAAAACTAATCATTTTGGGCCTTGGGATTGCAATGTTGTGCACAATAATTGTTTTAAGCTTACCAGGTCTTAATGCAACTGATATAATGGTCTGCATGTGACACACAATGGGGTGGGGATAAGGAGACATTTATTGTGTCACCCCCAAATTGCCATTTGGCTGCTAAATTTTGGTGGTCTTCAACAGGCCCTGCAATGTCCACCTGTGCTCACCTACCTTTGTTCTGGAGGATTTGAGGAGGCAAAGAGTGGGAATTAAGTTATACCCAGATTAAAAGAAAAGCAGTTTGGAAATAAAGCAGCAAACTGCCTACTCATTGCTGCAAATGGGGCACTCACCTTGGCATCCTCCTGGGCCAGCCCCTGGTCGACATGCTTACTTTCATCCCTGTTGCCCTGGGGAGAAAAGGCGGGGGGGGGGGAGGCAAGTGAAGCTCAATAGCAATTTTTTGCACACACACAAGTTTTGGACCACTACACAGAACTGCAAAGAAAGATCAAGATAACACAAAATGTTCTCAAACAAGCCATGATACATTTTCACATCTGCAAAAATGCTTGCTCAACAAAGACAAACCGTGAATTAGGGTGCGGTGTGAATGCATCCACTATGTGAAGTGTGACCTGAGGCATGAACAAGAAGAGCCAAATACTTACAGTCGACAGGGATACCAGGACTCTCCGGAACTTGGAGGCAGTATCTGAAACGATGTCTTTCTCAAGGGTGGTTCCATACTCTGCGAAAAGGCCCAAAGATATGTCTCAAAAAAGCACCACAGCCCCATTCAGACAATTGGTGGAGCTGAGGAAAGCTTCACAACTATGGCAACTTCTTGAAAAACAACCACTCACTTGCAGGGATATCTGCAGGGCATGATCAAAAAAGTCAGGATGGTGTCTGCAGATGTAGAGGGTTGTGAGAATAACCTTTCAGGAACAGGAGGTGTGAGCACCAGTAAATCAGTTTAACTGTAAACCTGATATTTCATGCCTGACCTTTCCAGAGAGAGACCCAAGACAAGCGACTGCAGTCCTGAACTGTTGCGGGGGGGGGAGAGGAAAAGATTCAGAACCTCCCAGGGTATATTCAGTAGGTTACAGCTTTAGTCTGGCAAGATTATGTCCATTGGGTGAAAGCAAATAAAGAAATGGATTCAATTGGATCTCATTGGGTCATCTTTGGACTTAGATCTGACAGAAATCCTATAATAAATATAATTTTAATATTCACAACATTGGTGTTCAAGTTTGATTTGCCTTAAATCGCTGACAGCAATGGTGCAATCAATCACAGCTCTGCCTATTTTTCATGTGCACCATCAGGGACACCATCTTGATTTTTCATGTGCACCATCACAGAGGCCATCTTGACTTTTTTGACCAGGGCCTGCAGATAGTTATGACCGTGGGGAATCCCACTAGACTCCAAGATTGGTTCTGCACAAATTCTGGGGAATGTATCTAAAAGCATTCTCCGTGGTAGGTCTGTGGGTTAAGGGTAGGTCTGCACATCCCCAAACATAGCGTGCAAATGGCCTTCAGGGCTTCCAGCTGCCGTTAGAGCACAGCTGGCCATTCCAGAAAGCTCCGTGAATTGGCTGCAGGCGAGTAAGGAAGGCTACGGGACAGAATACTCACGACGGTGGTAGGTGTCATTAATCCTCCGGATTTCCTCATTGGTACGAGACGCCAGGATTTCTATCAGGCAGCCCTCATCGGTCCCAGCTCCCTGAAGGACAGACAGACAGACAGACAGACAGACAGACAGAGTGCTTCAACAGAGCGCCAAGGCTGGGCAAATGCCAGCCGAAGCAAGGTTTTTCTAGGAACATCTCCAGGCTTCAAAATAATTTTGACCAACCTGAAGGTGGAAACCAAAGCTCATAGATCTCAAGCTGAAGGACTGTGTGGAATTTTATAGTATGAAAATGCTATATGCTGCAAAATGATGGAAAACTGAGTCTATCGTATTTCCTGCTCTCGAAGGTGCACACTGTCATAGGTGCTCCCAAAGTAGGGGGACAAAAACCAGGAACGGATGGAGAAAATTCCTACAACTTCAGGCGGCTCACTGGATCCCCATTTTCCAACCAATTCCCATGGTTTATTGTCTGTCTGATATCAGACTCTACATACAATCAAAGAGGGCTCCAACCCAAGAAGCACACTTGTTCCACAAGTCTTAAAGCTGCCAAGGTTGGACACACCTACTTGACATAGTCAACAATATGCTAAATTGAGCCGGGGCAAAACGTAGAGCTACAGTTATGGCTGTAACTGCTCACCTCTTTTTTACATGGAACATACAGTAATAGGGCTGGAAGGGACCTTGGAGGTCTTCTAGTCCAACCCCCTGCTCAAATGTCAACATGTGTCAATATTTGTACAAAAAGGGTGGAGCTTCAATCATGTAGCTGCAGAGATCACCTTGACTCTTTGACCTCCCCCCCAAGACCTAGCTGGATCCATGTTGCAAGTCAGCATCTAGAGACGAGTAAGGCATCTCCATGCTACCCACTTCCTGGAACCTTGAAGCAAATTGTCCAAAGAATATATTCCAGATGACCTTTTGAGATACAGGTCTTGGTCTGATATAAAACAGCCTCATGGACAATTCCACACAAATCTCTGCTTCTTTTTGTAGTTAAAATGTTTGCAAACCTTTACTGCTCTTTTCAGCTCCTCTACATCATACAGGGTGATGGGGGTCATCAATCCAACAATAACTTTCTCAAAATTCTTACTCAACTCAGATTTCAGGTCATCAATCAAATCCTGTTGGGGAAAGCAAATGATTAGGTAACATCACAATATCTAGTGTCATTTTTTGTTTCAAGTGCACCATCCAAAATTAAATCTTAGTTCTATCCGTAATTCTCTTCTAAAATTGGTATATTTCCTTCAAGGCAGAAGTCAAAGCTGTACGACAGCTGGCTGTTCAATTTTAAGGACATAAACCAAGTTCAATCTTTTTTGTGACCACAGAATTTCACATTTGACCTGATCTTTTGAGAGCGCGCATCAGAATTTCATTTTTAATGTGTGTCAGTGTGTTCACTGGAAAAATGACAATAAATCTTATCTTATCGTCTTACATTACCTTGCCATCTACCTTATTATTTAGGAAATCTAATGTGGCTCTTCTCAAATTTTCTCACTATTCATTCCACGGCTGATGTTAACAGTTTTATGCAGTTTTCAGCCCCCTCAAATTTGCAGCCTATATGTGAATCGAGTCCCAGAGTTCACATTCAGTGCTACCTACCCGACCAATACTGGATTTGTAGGCGATCTTGATCTCCTGCCGTTGGGACAAGCTCCTGTTGACCAAAATGTCAATGATGGCGTCTTCATCAGTACCTGGGACAAGAGACTGAAGATTCAGAGAAGGGCAAGAAAGATGACCAAGCAATTGGAACTAGAATCCATGGAGCAGAATATGGGGAGAAGCTGGTAGGTGAGATCAAGTAGATGTTTGGCAAGCAGGAAAATCCAGTTAATCAGGACCTCCAGAGCAAGGCCACGGGAAACACAAATCAGAGGAGAGAATACCAGAGTTTGGACCTAACTCAGAACAAGGCTATTTCTCATGGTCTCTTTGATGCACCTCTGTGCGATTTCTTTTCTGAACGCTCTCTGCACAAAGCAAGCTTAGCCGTTCCACCTCCAGCTGGGCAGGGTTTACAATTCCCAGCAGGACGTCTACGGAGACTCTTCATCATCCAAAGCTGCTTTTTCCAAAAGGCAACTGGACTTCCTTCTCTTCTTGAACTGAAGAACCTTTCTGGATGAGAAGCAAAACGTTTTCAAAGAAAAAAAAATCAAGTCCAATTATCTTTTGAAAAAAGCACCTTTGGGAATTCGCAGCAGGCATAAGCTTCTGGTTGAAAATTTTGGGAGCTCCAGTCCGAGGGTGCCAGGTAGGAAAAGAGGATCTTTTCGTGCTTCCTAATCGCCTGATCAAAGGGGACTTTGAGGCAGAAACACTACAACCTCAGAGCAATAAATCAAGAATAAAGCGGATGACTCACCCAAGCCTTTCATAGCTTTACGGAGATTCTGGGCATCAGCCTCAGGGTTGAAGTTGAAGGTCCCTTTGACGGTGCCTCTGTTTCCTGCCTAAAGCCGCAGAATGTCAAAAATCAAACCCCAGGAGGGTTAGAAAAACAGAGGAAGCAAGAAAAAAATCCAGGTGTACAAGGAATCTTTGACTTATGACCACAATAGATCCCAAAGTTTCTGTCGCTTAAGCAAGAGAGTTGTTAAGTGCATTTTGTCCCATGTTATCATCTTTTGGCCACATTTTTTAAGTGAATCACTGTGGTCGTTAAATGAACCACGCTGTCATTAAGTGAATCTGCTCAGTTTCACCAGAGACATCATAATGATGTTTATCCCCTCAGAAAGTCCAGGACTGGCACACACCCCTTGATCTCTCCCTCAGAGGAAGGCTCTTCTGAGGATACAGGCAAGATCAGAAGAAACGGAGATTAAAGGTGATTAATTTGGGAATTAATTTGGGAACAGCCGCTGAGCCAAATGCCCCCTAGTCCCAAAATAAGGAATTTGTATGTGCGTGCCTCCAAATCAATTCTGGCTCCTGGACAAGACTTCAGAAGTGGTTTTGCCTTTCTTCTTTCTAGGGATGAGGAGAAGAGCTTGGCCCAAATTCCCACAGTTGGCGCACAAATCACGATCTCCTGGTTTCTAGCCTGGGGCCTTTAATCACCCCACCAAACTGGCTCTCTCCTTTGAGTCAGCCTTGACTCCTGATGACCTCAGGAATGAGTCCCTGCAATTTCCTTGGCAGATTCTCCCTCAGGCCTTCTTCTCCCTGGATCTGAAAAGGAGGGATTGGCCCAAGGTCCCCCCGTCTCTTACAGTCTTGCTGCTGCTTCTCCAGAGCTTGAATCCCTACATCAAACTGGCTCTCAAGGAAGTCATTAGGAGCTGCCATCCTATGCCAGAAACTGATGGTGAATTTTTAGCTTCCAGGGTCACCTGCAGAGGAGGTCAAGACCTGGGCGTAGCTCTGGGCTGCAACAGAAGCTTTCTGCCACTTAAAGAAAGGCTGGAGAAAATCTCCTGCCACAGCCTCACTAGGGGAGCAGGCCAGGGTGAACCAGTCCAGCTGACACAAAGCAGTTTCAAATGAAACTGTCTACACAATGAAAGTAGCAAAGGGAAGGAAAGTTAACTGGGTTTTCCACCTAGTGCTAAACCAAGGTTTAACTATGGCTTGCTGAATACACAATTGGCTACCTTGGCATTAGAAACAAAGCCGTAAACCACCATTCATGGCACACAACGGCTAGGGTCACCCTATTCACTGAACCCAAAATAAAGGAACCGAATTTAGATTGACTGGGACCAGAAAAGGTTTTATCTTCAGCGGCAATTATAGTGTGCAGCAGAATACAACTACATATCACAACAGATCACTGGCCAACTGCCACCTTCGCTGCCACACCAAGCCCTCTAGTAACTGTTCCCAAAGATAACATTTACCCCAATTAATCCATCTGCTTAATTGCCCTGAGCCAACAGCTCAGGACACTGGACCTTTGATCAGATCCAGGGTATGCCAGGCGCCAGGCACCGCCTGGGACCTCAAGCAAGCAAAACCACCTACCATGGCAATAAACTTCTGCAATTCTCTAGCAACCAGTCAGCCCTGCAGATGGTCCCTGCAATAAAAAAGAGAATAAATTCTGATAAGGCTCAGCAAACACAGGAAGAAAGGAACGGTTATTAACCTCTGTGGCACTTTTTGCCATTAAAGAAGAATATTAAACAATATCTGATGCTTGGAAAGATTATGGGTGGGCATGAACATCCGCAGCAGGGAAACATGTACCAAACGGGTATATCTGGGCCCTGAAGACTTTCAGTGTGGGTCCCTCAAATCCCCTTCCCCCATAATTGCATAAAATTGCCATTTTTAAAAGAGGAACTAATCGTATTAAGTGTATGCAAATAATTTCATTCAATTTTAATTGAACGTAAGCTATACCAAAGATAGGTTGGGTGAAAAAATCAGCACGCCCTTGCCTGGAGACTAAAACATATGAAGAATGTTTGCAAGAATTGGGTATGACTAGTCTAGGGAAAAGAAGGATTTTTTAAAATATATATATTTTATTGATTTTTTTTACAATAACAATCTTTGGTGCTTAGTAAACAGCATGTTATCTGGGTTCATATATTTAAAAAACAATCAATAATAATTAATTTCTATAATTCCATAATATATTAATAGTTTGTTTCCTTGATCTTCCTTTCTTCCAATAATAATCTCCTTTGTCAGCATTAGACAGATATAATTCTTGTTCCGTGATCATCGGGGTGCCCCTCCTTCTTCGTCACCTCTCTGGGGCGACATCAGACCCATTTAGGGTCCCCTGGCAGGGCGAAACCAGCTACAGGGTGCAGAGCCCCACAGTCCCTCGGCCGCGTCGCTGTGAGGTGGAACCGGAAGTGAGAAAAGAAGGACTAGGGGGGACATGATCGCAGTATTCCAGTATTTGAGAGGCTGCCACAGAGAGGAGGGGGTCAACTTATTTTCCAAAGCACCAGAGGGCAAGACAAGAAACAATGGATGGAAACTAATCAAGGAGAGAAGCAACCTTGAGGATTAAGAAGAAATTCCTAACAGTGAGAACAATTAACCAGTGGAACAGCTTGCCTCCAGAAGTTGTGGGTGCTTCATCACTGAAGGTTTTTAAGAAGAAACTGGACAGCCATTTGTCTGAAATGGTATAGGTTCTCCTGCTTGAGCAGGGGGTTGGACTAGAAGACCTCCAAGGTCCCTTCCAGCTCTATTCTGATTGATTGATTGAAGTTGTCCCACAGCAAATTGGCCATGGCAAGTTGGCCATGCCGAGTTGGCCGCATTGAGTTGTCCTAGAAAGGGGCTTTCTGTAGATACAGAGGCGATGTTGCCTAGGCGAAAGGACTAAAACAATGTTTAAGTCCAGAACTTTGGAAGCAGTTCAGGTAGACACCTCCCAAAGCCAAATGAGTATACGGGGGAGGAAGGGGTCAAGCAGAATCAAACTGGTAACAGTCTATTACAATACGCCATTTCAGTAGCCTTTGGGTAGACTTTTTTTCCTGGTCTGTCCTATCTAGTGAACTAACCATATAACTACAAATTTTGGTTATGTAGCTTCTTGCAAATAAATTCAACCTCTGGCCTAACTATGTCCTTATAGGCTGGCACTTCCCTATAGGCTGGCACTCTCCAGATACTGGGAATGCTTTCCCACAATTTCCTAGCCAATCTAGCTGCCCAGGGAATCCTTGGAATGACAATCCCAACACAGCTTGGGGAGAACCGCAAAGGCATCCCTAATGTGGGCTGGGCCAAAACCAGAGGAGTTCCCCAAGAAGTAGAAATTTCCACATCTGTTCCAGGCCGGATGAGTCATTACTGTATAAAGCTGGCAGACTTAATCTGCCTGGCATCCATTTTATGAGCAGGCCCATTCTCCCTCTAATGTACCTCCCCTCCAATTTCTACCCAGGAGACAATCTTTGCATAGGCAGAAAATCAATTATATGTCAAGCCACATAGTTATTAATGGCCTGAAGCTTCAATAAGTAACTGAAAGCAAACAAAAGGATTAAAACACGGAAGGTACCAGTAAAAAACCCCAGAGGCTGGATGCAAATCAAATAATTCACTTTGGCTTCCTGCCTTGCATTGTAATCCAGCCTCTGCCCACTGGATAATTCTGTCGGTTAGTCTTATTTCCATCTGCTTTGCAACCGCTAACGTGGAGTGATGGGAAATTATGGAGCCACATTTCTGGTTCTGCTGGTTCCACTCTGGGTCTCGCTTGGAAAAAAACAGGCCAGCAACTCTAAACAGTTGCTTAGAGAAGAACACATCTGATCACTTTAAAAGGATTGCTCTCATTTTTTCAGGTGTGCAAGCCACCTCTTGTGCAGGGGGTGTAGTCAACTGCCTTCAGTAACTGGTCTGACCCTTTTCAAGCCATCATACTACCGATAGCCCAACATTGGACTGTCAGCAGAATCAGAAGTCCCGGTGGTCCTTCTGCACCACAAAGCAGCTGCCTCTCCTGGCTACAGTCAAAATCTCTGGCACAGCAGCTAGGGAGGACTTGGCATTCCTGCTGGCACTGAAGTTAAGACCCTTTAGGAAGTTCTCCTGCTTGCTCTAACTTAGCTTCTCTGAATGTCTGTGGAGATTCTCAGTCATCCAGGTCACGGTTGTCCCAAAGGTGCTTTTTCAAAAGGCACCTGACTTTGTTTTTTCCTGAAGACATTTCAGTTCTCATCCAAGAAGCTTCTACAGTTCCAGGTTGGATCTCTCTTTAATTAGCTTCCATTCATTTCTTCTTATTCTGCCCTCAGATGATTTAGAGAATACGTCAACCCCCTCTTCTCTGTGACAGCCCCTCATGGTTTGTGGAATAAGCCACTACATTACACAGATTGCAATAAACGGGGAGGGGCACACTTTTTTTTAAAATGTGTCTTTAAAACCATCTACCTGCTGAGTGAGAAAGTGCTTGAAGAGCATAGTCAGTTGCCCATCCAAGATGAGCCCGGATTCCTCTGCTCTTATTTATGGCAATCAGCAGAGAAAAAGGGGACCAATTGGTGCCACCACATCTAGATCAGAAATATAATCCTGCCAGAGAGGTTTGCAGCTTCCGCTTTTCCCTTCAAACTCAAAAGCTGTTGATAAGTTGGCTGCATCAGCTCAGCCCTCAGTGCTTCTCTGTACTGGGGGTCAGATTGTGGCCCGTCCTGCACACTCCGTGGATGCTACTCCACAGTGGGTTTCTCCTAAAGCAGGAAGTACTTGAGCATTTCCTACTTTAAGGCACCAAAGCATCATTTAAAACAGGGGTCCCCAACCCCCGGTACCGGGCCTTGGACTGTTTGGAACTAGGCTACGCAAGTGGTGGGTGAGTGCGCGTGCCTGCTGCTCACATGGAACCATTTCCTCTACACACACACACCCGATCTGCAAGGCCAGAAAGGTTGGGGACCACTGCCTTAAAAAGAAGCTTAGAGACGGCCTCTGCTCCCAACGGTACTGCTTGCAGATAGAGCTTCTGCTCAGACCACTCAGCTGCACTCGGGACCCCCAAGTGGAATTGCTGTGTTCCCTGTCCCCAAACACACCATGCAGGTAGTCCTCGACTTAAGGCCACAACTAAGCCCAGCATTTATGTTGTTAAGTGAGACCTTTGTTAAGTGAGTTTTGCCCCATTTGATGACCTTTCTTTTCATTTGTTAAGTGAATCACTGCAGTTGTTAAATAACATGGTTGTTAAGTGACTTTGGCCTCCCCATTGATTTTGCTTGCCAGAAGGCTGCAAAAAGGGATCACGTCACCTTGGGACACGGCAACGGTCATAACTATGAACCGGTTGCCAAGCCTCTGAATTTTGATCACCTGATTAAGGCGATGCTGCAAAGGTCGTAACTGTGAAAAATGGTCATAAGTCACCCGTGCCTTTGTAACTTTGAACGGTCACTAAAGGAACAGTTGTAAGTCGAGACTACGGGTGACTGAGCAGCCCGGCGCTGCCATGCTGAACTGCAAACGATCCTAAACTTGAACGTTGCGCTTCTGCAACTTTCTGTCCCTTCCTCCACCCGGGATTCCGCTTGAATCGCCCCAGCAAGATCGGAGGTGGGGAAAGTAGGTGGGGGGGCGCTCCCTCCCCCCCAAGCCTCCCCCCCCCCTATCCTTGCAGATTGATTGATGGGTCGCTTTCCCTTAAAGGCGCTTTGCAACTTTTCAACGCGCAACCAACGCGCGGCGGCGGAAAGCGAGCCCAGCGCAGCCCTCCGTTCCGGCGGTTGGTTAAATGCCGGCAGGGCAGCGGGCGAAAGGAGGTGGCCGACGCAAAGCAGACCCTCCCCGGCCGCTCTCCGGCCTCCCGGGGGCCAGCCCGGCGCCAAGCAACGGCCGGTCCGAGGCAGGCGAGCCGGGCTCTGCGGCCGTGCCCTGCCCTGCCCTGCCCGCCACCCTCGGGCGCCGCCTCGGGCTCCCCGCGCCCCGCTTGCTCGGCACCGGCCCGCGGGGAAGACCCCGCCGCCCGAAGGTTGCCCGCAGCCGTCCCGGTCCCCGGCAGGAGCCCCCCGCCCCGTCGAGGGAAGCTGGCCTCGCCCGCCCGCCCGCCCGCCTGCCCGCCTACCTGCTCGTCCTCGCCCTGGAAGCTGCTCGGCCCGGCTCCGTTTCCTTTTTAGGGAGGGCGAGGCCCGCCCTGGAGGGAGCGGCCACGGGAGAGGGCCTGCCCTCGGGCGGGGGCGCCCAGCGGCTGCCGGGAGTTCCGCGGGTCGGGTTGCAGCGCGGCCGGGAAAGCAGCCGGGGCGCCGAGAGGGAGGAGCGCCTCGGGAGCCCCAGGTCCGGCCTGGGCACCTCCCGGCCAAGCCCCCGAGGACAGCGGGCTCTCCCTCTCCTCTCTCTCCGTCTCTCTGCTTATAGGTGGGCGGCTGCCTCTCTGTCTAACAACCTTCCTGTCTTTGTTTCTCTGTTTCTCTGCCTGTCTTTTGGTCTGTATTTGCAGGTGTAGTCACTGATCCCTTTGTGTAGTGCGAGCATGGACGGTAAGTTGTCTGCATCTCTTTCCCCTCCTCCTGGTGGACTTGACAGTCTAGATTAGGGCTTCTCAACATCTGCCATTTTGACCCCTGGGGATTGCAGTCCCTAGAATTCCCCAGCCAGCAACTGCTTGAGCAGGGCTTGGACTAGAGCACCTCCAAGATCTCCTCCAACTTTGTTATTCTACATTCTAGAGTTGAAGAAGGACGATCAACTTAACATATCCAGAAAGACTGAAAAGCAACTGGCTAAGAATACATTGGAAAATATTATTCCTTCTGCTTTTATCCTGCAATGAGTTACTCTCCAAAAGAAGAAGAGATGTCACAAAATGCCAATGCCAAACAGGACCAATTGTCATGTCATCCTATGTGTCCTCTTTGAATACACAGATGGATGCTCTCCACAGTTGCAAGGATTCTGAAATATGATTTATTTTTGTGATTAATATTTCTATTATAATCTATCTATCTATCTGCCTGCCTGCCTACCATCTGTATAACACAAATGGACAATGCCAGATAATTTTAGTGCTGGTGGCTATACTTTTGAGTGCCAGAAGATGGCAGTATGATCACATACAAGCTTAAGGAGAAGTTTTACAGTACTTAAACGCTGAGAAAATACAGTTGATTGATGCTAATTGTCTTCACCCTTGGGACTCATGCAATCATACAAACAGAATATTTTCCTTGATATTTGTTTGAATTTCTTTGTTACAGGCATAAGGTCTGTGAACCATTTTCTCAATATCTAAATAGTAAATGTTCAGGGAGAGCAGAAATATTTGGAGTAAGGGTAAAACTATTGAAAACAACACATGAGAGAGCTCTACTTCTGTGTTGCGTCTAGGTAGAACAACTTGCTATAGCCGACTCACCCCGCTGACTGAGCTGCAAAACTTCAGATGGACACTAGATGGTAGCAGATAATTTGTTCTTTCATTCTCTCATTCATCCATTCATTCAATTTAGGGGTCGTCCAACTTCAAAAACTCTGGGTAGCCTGAAACATTAAAAGCAAAAAAAATAATAAAAAAATAAAAATCAATAATGGGAACCATGTCAGCATGGAGCTACTTAATTGGATAAAAAGTTACAGGGACCCATCCCAAGGACTGGGAGAACAGCCAAGTCTTTGATGCCTTTTTGAAGAGCATGGGGGAGGGGAACCAGATGGATCTCTATGGGAGATGGAGGTTTGCTTTCTAGATCCTCAAAATGACAGTTTAATCAAAGGGAACTGGAGTAGACCCATTCTGCTGGATTTACAAAAGAGGCAGAAATGATCTGAGATAGCCAGTCCCTATTGTGAGAAACAGAGAAGTTTAAAAATAAACCGGTCACAATTGATTAACAATAGAAGGATTAGCCAAGCCCTGCACGTAGGCACTAGATTTCAGGAGGCTTGGGTAGAAGACACACTTAACAAGACAAAAGGATGGCAGAGAGAAGTTCTGAACAATGTAACTGAGGGGGAGGGATAATGTATTCTGGCTAGGCGGATC